CCCGATGAATATCGATGAAATTTTTCACAAAACTGTAGATTTGAGCAAAGTCAGCGCGAAGCCTTTTCATTTTTAACTTGAAATAGGGCAGATGAGTTAAACCTTTATATAAAAACAAGACACCACCAGTTCCGGTTGCTGCAACGCTTTTACTCAGTAAACTCAGAAGTCGCATAAAATCTCGATCATCGTAAGAGTAACGCTTTCCAAACACAACGGAACAGATGACGTTGGCCACGGCGCTGCTGAGCAGAGGTTTAGGGTTGAAGGCCCTGCCGTTGAATACAGACATTTCCTTCATCAGTTCCTCGCCTTCAGTCCCGATCTGCTCTTCGAAGCTCGATTTACCGACACCCAAACCCCGGAGGACATTCAGGCAGAAGCGACGCATCTGAATCCATGGCTCTCCGAAGGATCCCGATACTCCTGTAAAATTTAGGATAGAAAATTTACATGTATTTCATCGTAAAAGGCTCATCGAGAAAACTGACAGAAATATTTGGAGACCCCAGTTTGTCTGGTTCTGTGATGTGGATTTGGTTCTTGGAGATAACTATTGATGTTACTTGATGTTACCTCTTGAGTTTCCTTGCAAATTGTCGCCAGACGAATTTTACCCCTTCTGATAGTCAATGTATTCCATTCTAGGTCAGCAAGATTTTTCGTATTATTTGATCCCCTGCTGTAATTGCCTGCAGTGAATCTTTCAGGTCTATTTTGAACTTTATCTTACTTGGCTTCATTGGATGTATAACGAGGGTTCCAAATGGCGGAGCAATACAGAAGTTTAAAATAATCTATTAGCATGTTTTGAAAGGCATATTACTAAATTATTATTAAATTGAAAACATTTAGTTCACATGAAGTATTTCAAAATAACAATAATACGTAACCATCTCAAAAATATCTAAAATTCAATGTTTACCCCATTAATATTGACCGCAAAATGAATAAAAAGATCCTGCCTTTCCCTGCCCACAAAAAAAAAACCTTTTGGCTGATTTGATGACGTCGTCAGCAGAACGCCTATAAGTACAGTGTTCGTGTACATTGCATGATTGCACACAGTAAATACAGTATCGCACGCTTGCACGTTGTGTTCGATGTAGCTTGCCTCAAATGCAAACACCGTATGCAAACACTAATACTTACGTCCTTCCAGGGCTACCTTATGTTTTGGTTTTATATCCTTCCTCACAAAATGGGGACAGCGCACTCAGCATAAATTTTATCGACAACCTAATATTTACTCATTTGATATCCTGACATTAAACCATTTAAATACTTGTAGCCTTATAGGAATGGAGACGGACTTTTTTCACAAAACGTCGATATTTTTAGCCAAATGATCAACTATTTCGTAACACGCACAGTACTACAAAATGCATCTGCATAACCCCGTCCCGTGCAGTGTTGTATCAGCAGGCGATGCCTACGTTCAATAACCGCGGGGAAAACGGAAATAAATGTCTTTGGAAACCATTCGCAGTTCCAGAGCCATTTTTTTTCGGGGGGGGGTCTAAACATTTGGCTTGTGACGTCACCTTTCAACTTGCGCTACGAAGGTAAACAGCACATACATTCTAGCCAAATCTGATGTACATTGCTCATAATGACCCTGTAAAATGATTATCGACTATTCCTATAATTTTTTTAAAAATCAACTGAAAAATCCAATATTTTCCAGCCTTTCTTCCCCCTTAGCCCCCGTAGAACCGCCCGTATTGCAAACGCAGCAGTTTAAGACGAATTGGCATGCAACGATTTGCATTATGCTCCCATTCATACGAAGTGGAATCCGTTGATGGGGTTTTGAAACTGAAATTAGGAATTGAACTTGACAATCGATGGTCGGGGACGAAATTGAAGTTGTGTTCCGTGGGATACATGAGATATGGGTTTGTTGTCAAAATAACCTGTATTTAACACAAATGGAAGACACAAAGACTGGGCAATATCGGGCTACAGCCAAGTCGCAGACGGGACACGCACTTGAGAACCAAGTGAGTAGACCTCCGTCAGCGGTTGAAAAGAGTCATAATGGTCGGAGGTATTCATTTTCGTGGTAGCGATGCGACCGTACAACGCGTGCATTTCATCATTGTTCGTGAACCGGCGATGTTTAGTTCCGACCAAAGGAGCCTTCTTTGCTCAAAGTCAATTAAAGTACAAAAGTAAAAACCCAAAATAGATGCAGAGATAGGATCTGTCAAGTGTTACCCAGTTAACTGTTGAAATACAGATGTCTCTTTTGAAACATATTTAAACAGAGATATCTCCGTTACAGAAATAGACTTGCCTCTATTTCGAGAATGTTATTTGTGATTTGCACCTCCTTTTATTTTCTCAGATAACCTGTATCCAACTTTATACGTGCTGTGCTGCAATAATGGAGCAAGAATTAACCATTAAACTCTGTCGTCAGCGTCGGGCATGTGGACATTTCTTCTCAAATTCTTCAAATCTTTTCGGTCTTTTAATGGTAAAAGCCTGTTTAATAATTAACAGTTGAGTCATTAGTCTAAAAAGACACGAACGAGCGTTTGGATAGGTACAAAGGTACAACAAATCATTCAAACTGCACACTGAACAACACTTACCGAAGTCCACTGTATACCTGTCCACTACAGTGTTTGCATTAAATAGTCCTAAGGACATTCTAAATATAGTGTAACTGTTTTCTCTCTCGTTAAACTTCTGCTCAGGTACATCATGGACGAGTGGAATCTAGGGACGTTTCGTTGGACATTCTCGCGATCGGCGGCCATTTCTTTTGCGAAAAGCACTGTGTTGCGTGGTTTCAAGGGAGATTGGCCATGCCGTTTGCCTCGACATCTATCCGGCCGCCGAGATGGGATTTATCTATACCCAGCAAGAAATGAGACCGAGGGGTACCCCCCAAACATGTCCAATCCC